TATCATCATAGTAATTTGAGTGAATGCTTAATAGATAAATGTAAATTCAGGATTTAGTATTTTGTATGTCTCTCTATTGCTTGACAACATCACTCCATCTAACATTAGGTTTGTGTAAAATCTGATTATCACGTTCTCAAGCATCATTAAAAAATGATCCAAAGAGCAACTTGAGTTCACATAGTGTCATATAAGAGTCACAATTTGATTACATTTGACCCAGGTGTCCTATATATAATATAGATCCTTAAATGTTTCTTCATCGTCTGTCAATGTTTCTTCAATCACTTTTTAAAGTAACATGTTAATACCAGAAGCTGCTGACCGAATGCATCAGGTACAGCCATGCTGACCAATAGTATGACTTTATAGTAGTATAGTATGTAATAGTATGAAAATGAGTTTGATATTACTTATTGAGTAACTTCCAGTTTTTACACATATTGCCAGTTGCTTTGTCTACTTTTGTTACGCTAACAAAAGCAGTTTCAAACAAACACACGTTCCTGAAAGAATCTACACATTAAAAAAATAAATAAAATAAATCAGTTGAGTGAATGATTCAAAAGCCGGGTTTCCATCCAAAGTTGCGAATATCGCATAAAACATTTGCGAACAAGCATCGTTTCCATCCAACAAGTCAAAGAGAACAAAATCGTCACTTACTGATCAACCGGCACTATATATATCACTAAGAAAAGTAGGAGAAGACACTTAATATGATACTTTTCATATATGATAAATTACTTGCATCTCAGAGCGAGCAGATGAAACACAATAACTGCGGTCATTGCTTTCAGAGGCGGATGCTGCTGTTTGGGAACGCAGTCGTTTAAGACAATTGTACAGAAATACTTTGATGGCACACTTTGCTCAGGCATTTCAGAACAACCAAAACAACATTTTAGATGCTGTGGAATGAGATCGGTCTGCTGGTTAGTCAGGTTTTCCCGTTCCATCGTGCAAGTCACATTACTTTTTTGATGCGCTTGGTGGAATTTATTCGGTAAAGTGTTTCCGTCGTAGTTAATGCATCTTTTCTTATCGGATAAAATGTTTATCCCACTCAATTGTGCGTATAAGTTTTTTGAAATTACGCACATAAAAATAGGTGGATGGAAACATAGCTAATGACTGTCTTTATGAATAGGTAATTGAATTTTTCACTCAGCTGATTCATTCAAAAAAGGAGATTTATTTAATGTCGAACTCCAAAGCTGTAAGTCACAGCATATTAACTTATTTATTGAGCTGTTGTATAAAATAAATGTGATATTTGCCTGACTAACCCAAAATATATGAATATATATGAAATATGAATATAAAAACCCATACATGTGAAGCTGGATATGTGATGCTAACATTCAAACATAATGTTATGACTCATAACATGATATTCCTCAAGTAATTGTGCGAAAATTAGGCTTTATTAATCGAAACTGTGGTCCTGCAAATCATACGTTGTGTGAAAAGGAATAAAAGTTGCCGGAGTTTTACTGCTTCTAGTGTTTATTTCATCTGGAAACTGCAGTTATTCATATGTATAGGTATGTTTTTTTTTTCTTTCAGTTTTGCAGAAATGTAGAGACACGTATTTCCAATGAGCCTATGTTGCGAAAAAGATAAAAAGAAAAAACCTGACTGGTACACTCAAACTGCCGGAAACTACGTAGAACCAGTCCATCTGTGTGTGCAGTTTCTTCTTGCTGTTTTGTGTGCAGGCTGCATCAGATGGCCAGTGAATGTACTGTAGGCTTCCGAGGAATAGTTTACTTGCACATCACAATACAGTTCCATTTTTTTCTTATTTCTTATCTTATCTGTTTTGTTCTCCAGGTCTGTGATTAATAGCTGAATGTTTTCAGCATCACAACTTCAGGCAGCAGTCTGGGGTTGCTGAGTTCAGAAAACAGCAGCACATGCAGCTTTCCAGCTTTCCAACTGGATTTAATAGCTGCCTTCAGCTCCAGATAGTTCTCAGAGTAACAGCTTCACAACAAAACTGTGGTTTTGTGGTTTATTTAAAAAAGAAGGTACAAATGAACCAGTATCATTTCCAGTCAAGCTTTATTTTCATTCTGCTACATGTATGGACATAGGGCAGTCGTGGCCTAATGGATAGCGAGTCAGACTTGTAACCAGAGGGTCGTGGGTTTGAGTCTCAGGTCCGGTGGACTTGAATAACCAGCGCTCTCTCCACCTTCAATACCATGACTGAGGTGAGACCTTGAGCATGGCACCGAACCCCCAACTGGCTGCCCACTGCTCCGGGTGTGTGTGTGTTCACTGCTGTGTGTGTGCACTTGGATGGGTTAAATGCAGAGCACAGATTCTGAGTATGGGACACCATACTTGGCCACACGTCACTTCACTTTCATACAGTGGAACAAAATGTTGTGTCTCGCAGGACCACGGTGCTACATACAACACTAGACGTAAGAACAATTTTTAGACCTACATAGCTAACTTTCTGAAGCAGTAGTCTAACTATACATATACTATAAATAGTTGATTGTACATACACATAACCTAAGACAGACTATACAAGTACTTTACATAATAACTGTACATAATATTGTGCAAAAGAGGTATTAAAGGTTAAGAAGCAAGTAGTGCAATGTGATTTGTGATACATTCACAAGTAAACATTTGTGTTATCTTACACTGAACAAAATTAAAAACGCAACACTTTTGTTTTTGCCCCCATTTTTCATGAGCTGAACTCAAAGATCTAAGACTTTTTCTATTTACACAAAAGGCCTATTTCACCATGGGCCACTCGATCGACAACGTTGACATCAGCAAACCGCTCATCCACACGACGCCATACACGCTGTCTGCCATCTGCCCTGTACAGTGAAAACCAGGATTCATCCATGAAGAGAACACCTCTCCAAAGTGCCAGACGCCATCGAATGTGAGCATTTGCCCACTCAAGTCGGTTACGACGACAAATTGCAGTCAGGTCGAGACCCCAATGAGGACGACGAGAATGCAGATGAGCTTCCCTGAGACAGTTTCTGACAGTTTGTGCAGAAATTCTTTGGTTATGCAAACCGATTGTTACAGCAGCTGTCCGGGTGTTTGGTCTCAGACGATCTTGGAGGTGAAGATGCTGGATGTGGTGGTCCTGGGCTGGTGTGGTAACACGTGGTCTGCGGTTGTGAGGCCGGTTGGATGTACTGCCAAATTCTCTGAAACGCCTTTGGAGACGGCTTATGGTAGAAAAATTAACATTCAATTCATGGGCAACAGCTCTGGTGGACATTCCTGCAGTCAGCATGCCAATTGCACGCTCCCTCAAAACTTGCGACATTTGTGGCATTGTGCTATGTGATAAAACTGCACATTTTAGAGTGGCCTTTTATCGTGGCCAGCCTAAGGCACACCTGTGCAATAATCATGCTGTCTAATCAGCATCTTGATATGCCACACCAGTGAGGTGGATCGATTATCTCGACAAAGGAGAAGTGCTCACTAACACAGATTTAGACAGATTTGTGAACAATATTTGAGAGAAATAGGCCTTTTGTGTACATAGAAAAAGTCTTAGATCTTTGAGTTCAGCTCATGAAAAATGGGGGCAAAAACAAAAGTGTTGCATTTATAATTTTGTTCAGTGTATTAAGTCCTTGTAACATGTAGTGTTTATAAGAAAGTTGCTGGTGCATATAGAGAGAAAATGTGTGTTTCAAGAGGTGGTTTGTCCAGCCCATTCACCTGTGTGTAGCACACTCATAATTACACAATGTTTTCCTTGAAACATGTAGTGTTTATAAGAAAGTGTCTGGTGCATATAAAGAGGGAAGTATGTTTTTCTACAGGTGGTTTGTCCAGCCCACTCACCTGTGTGTAGCACACTCAGAATTGCACAATGTTCTTGAGGTTTTCAACAGTTTTCATGTGGTAAATGTGGTGTGGTGTGGTGGGATGGGGGGAGAGAGGATCCTGGTTTCAGGAGCTAGGGTTGTGGATGAGGTTTCAGAGGAGGGGAGGTGATTGAAATTGAGGGCTCTCACAGCCTGGGGATAAAAGCTGTTGAGCAGTCTTGCAGAGTGGGCTCTGATGCTCCAGTACCGTTTTCCTGATGGCAAGAGCTGGAAGAGACCGTGGGAATGATGAGTGGGGTCTTTCACGATACTGGTAGCTTTACTGGAGCATCGTGCATGGAAAATGTCCAGAATGGAGGGGAGAGGGGCACCGATGATCTTTGCAGCTGTGTTCACAGTCCGCTGTAGGGTCTTGCGATCAGCAGCACTGCAGTTCCCGTACCAGACAGTGATGCAGCTGGTCAGCACGCTCTCAATGGTTCCCCTTTAGAATGTGGTGAGGATGGGTGGAGGGAGACTTGCTCTTTTAAGTCGGCGCAGGAAGTGGAGCTGCTGCTGCGCCTTCTTGGAGAGTGATGTAGTGTTGGTGGTCCAGGTGAGGTCTTCTGTTATGTGTAACCCCAGGAATTTAGTGCTGCTGACTCTCTCCACAGTCGAGCTGTCGATGGTCAGTGGGGGATGGTCAACAGAGTTTCTCCTGAAGTCCATCACAACCTCCTTTGTCTTACTTACATTGAGGGACAGGTTGTTTGCCCCACACCATTCAACCAGTTGTGCCACTTCCTTTATGTAGGGTGTTTCATCATTGTTGTTGATGGGACCTACCACAGTTGTGTCATCAGCAAACTTGATGATGTGGTTGGAGCTGAACTTGGCAGTGCAGTCATGGGTCAGCAGTGTGAAGTGCAGCGGGCTGAGCACACAGCTTTGTGGGGCACCTGTTATCAGTGTGGTAGTGCTGGTGGTGTTGTGGCCGACACGGACTGACTGAGGTCTTCTGGTAAGAAAGTCCAGGATCCAATTACAGAGGGAGGTATTTAGGCCCAGCAGGTTTAGTTTGTTGATGAGCTGTTGTGGAATTATTGTGTTGAATGCTGAGCTGAAGTCGATGAACAGCATTCTAACATAAGAGTCTTTGTTTTCTAAGTGGGTAAGAGGCAGGTGGAGGAAATGGCATCGTTCGTGGAGCGGTTTGGACGGTATGCAAACTGGAGCGGGTCGAGTGTTTTGGGGAGATTGGATTTGATATGGTGCATGACTAACCTCTCAAAGCACTTCATCATGATTGGGGTCAGAGCTATGGAACGATAGTCATTTAGGCAGTACACAGGTGACTTATTTGGTACTGGGGTGATAGTGATGGACTTGAGACATGTGGGGACAAGTGCTTGGACAAAAAGACAAATGACTTTATCATTTGTTTCCAAGAGTCAAAATATTCCTATTTTTAATTAGATGGCCAGTAATGGAAGGTGACTTAGCTTTTAGGGGCTGTTTCTTTCCCATCTGCTGAATGGATAACTGGTTTAATTAGAGTTGTTATTCTCTCAATTGCTCTTTTATGAGTTGCAATAGATGCAATAGTTGCTGTTCCTGAGGTGGCTGTAGTGTAAATTGTCTGAGGGAGGTTGGATGTTTCTTAGACAGAAATGTAACACAATTACATTTACATTACATTTACATTTATGCATTTAGCAAACACTTTTATCCAAAGCAACTTACAATAGAAGAAACATCAATTATATGCTATTCTTAGCATAAAGAGCTATGTTTATTAGAAAGCAAGACTCTATTAAACTCTGCCCTTGTCTCAGATTTTCTTGTCAAGTATATTCTTGTCTAGTGTATCAAAATATGTTTGTATAATGATTATAAATTATAGAGTTTGATGATAACAAACAGAACTGAATGCATTGCATCAATGCATTTAGGCCCTGTTTACACCTGGTATATTTTGTCCACTTTCATTCACTTTCCAGGAACTTTTTTGAGATGTGTTGATGCCATGAAATTTAAAATCCACTTATTTTTCCCTTACAATGATACATTTTCTCAGTTTAAACATGTGATATGTCATCTATGTTGTATTCTGAATAAAATTGAAATTTGAAACTTCCACATCATTGCATTCTGTTTTTATTCACAATTTGTATAGTGTCCCAACTTTTTTGGAATCGGGTTTGTATTATCACATCCAAAAAATGTTGCAGTGCAAAACATCTTAATGGTTTTCAAATGGGCTTTGTTTCCTTAGGCAATATCCTATTTTTGTCTTTTGATTTGGAGTGCAATATGATCCCTACATCTTCAATGTGAAATAGATCTCATGACGAAGTTGCTTTTTGATGACTTTTAACAAACATTTGAAGTGTTTTTGAGGTTGCCGCAGCAAAGTGCAGACATCTCCAAATTCACATTGTTGATCAAGGGAGGTTTGTTATGCAAAAATAGCAGGTTTTCAGCAACATTAATCAGAGACCTCTGGCACTTGAGAAAACGTAATGTATCTCCTGCTATTTTTTCGTGAAACATTTCACAAGTACTTCAAAGCATTCCAGAGCATTTTCAGTTAGTAAGATGCCTCTTTTTCAGAGTTGTGGGTAGCTGTCCTACCCATCAGCCACTGCAGCATTCTGACCTTGAATGATCTGCGTAAACATGCGTATTCACACAAAGATGAGCTTCCAAGTATACGCTCTCTCATTCCCTGTCTTTCATCACAAATAGACAATTTAGCTGGAAGAAGAGAGGACAAGTATAGAAAAAGACAATGCTAAGGAATGCATTTTAAAATTATCCAAAAATTATTGTAAAATCATCAAACTAATTAAAACCCCATTTGCAAGCAAAATGCCACTCTTCTGAATGATACGTTGGCTGCACAGACTGGTGGATCTCACAGATGTTTGAGCTCAGCACTCTAAATGAAACCCAGCTGAATGTAAAATCATTAACAAACAAAAGCCAAATTGAAAAGAAAGCAGCGGCACTCACTGAGTGTTCAGCTTCAAGTCAAAGTGCTACGTGTGTTTAAAAAGCTCAGGCAGTTATGAAATATTATCGCTTTCTGTGAGCAACTCTCTCCAATTTCAGCACTGTTTCTATGGAAAAACACACATGCACAAACAACGCTCAAGTACAAAGAGCTCACCGGGGGTTATTTGACACAGCTTTTGGCCAATGAAAATCTGATCTGAACACTAGAGGCCTGAAGGAGCATCCGGTCAGTGTTCATAAACTAAAGGTAACTCTGACTGAGCTGGAAGCAACACAGGTTCCCTGTCTGCCAGTCCGCTAACATCTCAGAGCTCTCATGTAAAAGCTCTCATTGGCTCTGTTTTGATTTAGAGCTCTGGCCAAAACCTCATGCACCAAGCGCAATTTAGTCAAGCGGAATTCATGACCAGACATAGATGAAACATGAAACTAGATTTTGACAAAATAAACTGTGACTGCTGCATTTCAATAGAAACTCACTGACATGATGCTATGGTGATTGCCAGTGCATTGTTATGCAGTTGCTAAGGGTTCTCACTGTGTTGCTAAGGTGTCCGGCATTCATATGCAGTTTCTAAGGTGTTTTGGGTGGTTACTTAAATGGCTGTTTCAAAAGAGGCCAGCCCAAGTCTCTATGGTATTCTGATCTTTAGATATAGATTAAGTCCCTCCTTCATCCTTCATCAGAAAAAAAAAGAAGAAGAAGAAGAAAAAAAGTACACAAGCTGTCACTGGGGCAGTATTTTTTTCAAAAGGTATGCCTTTGTAACTAAAGGGTGCATATCGGTACCTTAAAGGTATATGTTAGCACCTAAAGTGTACATATTAGTACCTTAAAGATACAAAACTGTACATATTAAAAATGTACTGTTTTTAATGGACAACACAATGAAAGCAGCTGTGGCAACAGATCTATGACCTTTGTCAGCTGAAAACAAAATGGTGCATTCCTATAAACCTGTTTACAGCAGTGACAGAATTTTATCTGACGGCAAAGCAAGGGTTTGTGTCACCCTGGAGGTCAATTTCTTTTTAAAAACGCTCACCAGCCAATAGGATGCAAGCCTCTGGGTCATGTGTCTGGAGCTGCCTTTCCAGTTAGATGTGAATGACAGTGCTTGATTTTCAATGAAGTACAGTTGCTTAAATAATAATAATAATAATAATAATAATAGCATATTCTGAGTAAAAATGGTTTTGTAATCCATTTTTTTTCAGTGTATGCTTAATTAATAGAACAGCTAAAGTTGGTCCGTGCTTTCATCAAACATAATATGTTCTATAAACTCAAACATAATATTTTTTTTTTCTTGTTAATCTGAGATTAATTACCTTGCATTTTAATTAAGATGAACATTAACACTGCATTATAGTGAAGAAGGACTTTCTTACTTTGTCTACTTTGTGTATCAGAAATATTGTGTAGTTCTATTTCTCTGCATTAAAACAGGCAAAATATGTATTATCAGATGATTTTATATTTTATATAGTATGAATGTGAGTAATGTAATACCTTTATTGTTTAATGACACTTTTTGTATTAAAGCTGAGTGATCAACATGCTTTTTTTGCGATTAGTTGTGCTTGTTATGTACAGGTCTTAAGGTGGCTGAACTGACAATGTTTTCAAATGTCAGAGAATTTATGAAAAATAATAAATAAAAATAGTTTACACATAGAGCATTGATGTATGAGAGGAACTGTTGTTTCTATGCCGGGCTCCTGCTGTGAACAGGCTGCCTCTCATTGGTTCATTAGGACCGTGAATATGCGGGTGGTAAAGCAGCGTGGGGGCGGGAAAGCGCTTATCTCTCTCTGCTGCAGCTCCCCTGGCACAACACATTTTCCTGAATAGTCTCAGTGGTGTAGAAGGATCTGTTCACACCAGCTTCCTGTAGTCTGAACCAGATATCTGCATTTATATTGCCAAGATCAGCTGTCTTATATTGCTGATTTGTTGCTCATGCATTACAATAGTTAACACCATGTTAAAGGAACAGTTCAACCATAAATAAAAATGGACATAATTTACTCACCCTCATGTTGTTCCAAATCTAAATGCATTACTTTATTCTGGGAAACACAAAAGAAGATATTTTGAAGAATGTTGAAGTTTAAACATTGGAACCCATTGATTTTGTATAGACAAAAATACACAGATATTGATTTTTTTTAAATAGCAAAATTAAAAAATGTGCTTATATATTATATTATATTATATTGCCCTATCAGACATATATCAGACATATTTCTGACAATCAGAGCACAATGTCTTCTCTCTCCACAGGAAGAGCCTTACGTGATGTTCAAGAAGTCAGATAAGCCGCTGTACGGTAACGATCGCTTCGAGGGCTTCTGCATCGATCTGCTGCGAGAGCTGGCTGCCATCCTGGGCTTCACCTACGAAGTGCGACTGGTGGAGGATGGCAAGTACGGAGCGCAGGAAGAGAGCACGGGCCAGTGGAACGGCATGATCCGAGAACTGATGGACCATGTAAGTCAGACTCCACAATCCAATGCTGTTTTGATTGCACTCAGGTTGGCTCTTTTCCACTCTGTACAACCTTGCAAGGTTGAGCAAAATTGGCTCCCTTTCAAAGCATCAATGTGAATATGTATAGATTTGGTCACCCCCTGCCCACACCAAAGATGTTACAATTTAAAATTGGAAGAAAAAAAAAAACACTGGAAGAAGTTTATTGAATAGCAATTCAAAGAAATCCAACATAATCACACACAAGCTTTGTGACAAATAATAATCATTCATTTTGACTAATTATATTTATTCCCTGATGTTTCCCTAAACTGATTAGACTGATTTATTTCTCAGTACTATCAAAACCATTAAAGCAAATTTGATTTCTTTCATACAGCAATACATAAAGTGCATCAAAAAGAGTGCAAAATTAGTGTCTGTACTCAACAAAGCTGGATTTGCTGCATTTGTCAAAAAAGTGGTAAAAACAAAAACATTATGAAATATATTAATGAAAAAATATACATTAATATGACAATTTAAAACAAGTTTTATATATATATATATATATATATCAATGTATTTTAAATGTTATTTATTCCTGTTTTCTATGTCACATGATTCGTCAGAAATAATTCTAAAACTTCTGTAACATTATAAAACTCTTGCATGTCACTTTTGATCAGCAGAACAAGATAAAAAAAAAAAAAAAAAAAACCTTACCCCCAAATTTTGTACAAATTCAAACTCATCTCTTTCCCATATGTTGTGTATTCATACTACAAAGAACATGAAATTATATTATTATTAAAAACTGCACGGCAGTTGTATACATTTCTTTGAATATCCTTCCATCTTAATTCTACTTCTTTGAACTGAAATTTGAATTTTGCCTCCTGTTTGCTGCCTCAATTCAAATTGAATGATCATTTTTAAGAAATTGTAGTGTAATTTATAAGGCGTCCCTAATTCAATTCAGGATGGTGCATAATCCTGACACATTCCCACCATACTGCAGAAGGGACTTGTCAAGATTATACAATGAAATGAGATGCTTTCAGCGTAAAGAGGAAACAGATATGAAAATAAGATTAAAAGTGCATGTGTGCGTGCATAGCAGATGGTACGAAATGCGATAAAATAAAACACGAGCACATACTGCCGAGAGGACACAAAGTGAAAAATCAGGCATTAGTTTCCCCCCATAGAGCTTATTAAGCACACGCACTTTCACAAACACTGCCCTTCGACACTCTCATTAGATTCTGCAAAGACTAAGATAGGAATAAACACATTGCTGAGAAGAGTGCAGCACACCCAATATTCAATAGTATCCATTGCTCCAACCGATACATCAGACATATCTCTTAGTCACCGCTCCTCAATTGGTCATGGTCAGATCCTCTGGTGTGAAAGCGGAGGGTGTGTATGTGTATGTTGTCGTAACATTCCCCGGCAGCCCCCCCCATAAGACGAGAGCAGGACAGACTGTAATTGGCCTTGACAAGCTTTCAGAGCATTCTGGAGTTTGCAGTTTGCCAGTACATTGATGTGCTAGAGATAAAAATATCTTGTCAAAGGACTTTAGAAGAAAAAAAAAGGAAGGTAGCGAGACAACATCTGCTCACTTCTGGCATTAATTTGCCCCCTCTGGGAATAATTATAGACAATTCAATAATTCTAGACGGAAGCCTTTATTTTGAATAAAATTATACCAATTCTAACCGTAAAAGTAGTGAAATTGAACTAAATGTCAGTTTTAGGGGCACAGCCGTCTTAGCTGGTGTCAGCGGACCCTCCATCAGTTCTGAAGGAGGAATAACGGCCTTACCGTGTCAGAACAGATGTTTCATTATCATGTTGAAATTGTACCGGGTATAATCTCAGATTCATCAGACTGTAGTCAAACCAGGGCTGGATTTACGCATAGGCATTCTAGGCACGTGCCTATGCTCGCTCGTCCAGGGGGGCCCAAACACAATGAAGATATATATAATATTTTCTGTTATACTATGGCATATCTACAACAGTAAAATAACCAAAACCCCTGAAGACATTGAGCAAATAATTATAACAAACAATAGGGTAAAAATTACAAACTATTTCCATGTCTTCAACCTTTTATATGTACGGAAATCACGCTTTTCTCCTCTCACAGACGCACACACACACTTGCGCACACACCCGGAGACGTGAACAGAAACTCGTTGTCAGAGCTGCGGCTACCTCGCGAATTTATCAATAAAATAGTTTCGCAGCTGAAAAGCTATACATGACATTTCTCAGTAGCGAGGTTCTTGAAGCAGTTTAACTTAAAGATTCGCTATTAGTAGACGCTGCTGCCTAATACTGCTGAGAGACGCACAGACGCAGGTATTCACACACACTTAATCTCTCTCTCTCTCTTTCTCTCTCTCTCTCTCTAATAAGTGTTTTAGCCTGCATATCAATGGCCCAAGCCTCTGTTATTAGCAACGGAAGGTTTGGGATGATGTGCGTAAAAAAATTAGCTAGTTCAACACACACGAGATTTCAGGACAGAAACATGTCAAATGTCTTGAAACAAATCATCTGAACAATTGATGTGTGATTGTGCCTCCAGGCCGTTAAAATTGTTAGAGAAATAATGCACTCCCGAAGTGGTTATGTGGCCACGTCGCCGCACCTATTAATGGAATGGTCTTTCTCAGTTCTCAAACAAATTAAGAACTGCGTTCGATGCAAGCGCTTATTGCAATAGAAAACACTGTAATGGTTTCCACTGATTAAGAAATATTTTTGTTTGCTTGGGTGGTAATATTAGGCCTATTATATTAATAGGTAAGGGGGGCCCAAAAATGTGTTTTGCCTATGTCACAAAAAGAGGTAAATCCAGCCCTGAGTCAAACGATGAATCCTCAGTACTAGGCTTGAAAATGTGTCATTTAAATCTTAAGTCATATGCCTTTAAAATAAATAGGGCTCAAAACTATTATGCAGTATTTAAAATAATTTGTAAAGTGTAGACCAGGATTCCTTTTGGAATCTTTTGGACCAGGAGTTTGAGAGGCACACAATTATTCATAATATGAATGAATGAATGATAACTTCACAGTTGAGTTCAAAGCAAAATTCTCAAGTTATAAGTTTGATTGTATAAGCCACATTTGAAAGTGTTATACATTGTAAACTGTACGTTACTGTTCAAAAAGTTTCCACCAAAATGTTAAGCAGCAAACGTTTTTTTTTTTTTTTTACATTAATAATAATACACACCAAATCAGCATATTGGAATGATTTCAGAAGGATCACATGATACTAAAGACTGGAGTAATGGCCTGTTTATGTAAAGATCGATAACTATATAGATAACTATAATAACTATATTAGCGTCCACACTAATGCACAATACCGTTCTGTTTATTATAAGCACACACTGCAGTTTTGTCATCTGCCGATTTGAATGTTCAAGCTCTTTAAAACAGGATGACTTTTTATTGTCTGTCAATGTTTTATTAGCTGACAAAATATACCGTTCCTCTGTGTCATTATCGTTATAGTTTATTGTGTGGATTCTGCTATTCTTTTCAATTTAGAATGATTTTTAAAACTATATCATTATCATCTTTTGTGTGAATGGGCCTTAGTGGCTCCTTAAAATGCAGTTTAACAGGAATAGATTATTAAAAATACAGTAAAACTGACATTTTTTTTTAAGTTTGAATAATATTTTAGAATATTACTTATTTTACTGTATTTTTTGATCAAACAAATGCATCCTTGATGAGTGCAAGAAAAACAAATCTGGTCACACTTTAGATTAGGGAGCAATTCTCTCTATTAACTAACTATTAATTATGATTTTTGCCTCAATAAACTCCTAATTTGCTGCTTATTAATAGTTAGTAAGGTAGTTGTTAAATTTAGCTATGGGGGTTGGATTACGGGATATAAAATAGTATCATACAGAATAAGGCATTAATATGTGCTTTATAATTATTAATAAACAGCTAATATGCTAGTAACATACATGCTAATGAGCAGCTAGTTAATTGTGAGAATTTGGCCCTTAAAGTGTCACCAAAAAGCTTACTGACCCAAAACACCTGTGAAATACACATGTGAAAAGCTGCATTGTTGCTTGCCATCTGTAAACAACTTGTTATGGCATGTTTACAATGGACATGAGTAAAGCATCACATCTCAATTTCCTCCATTATAAACAATTAAGCTCCCTGCACTGGAAGCAGAACAGACTATATGCAGTAGTTTTCTGCTTGCAGTTGTTTTTTTTTTCCCTTGCTGAGAAAACTAGTTAATTGTGAGAATTTGGCCCTTAAAGTGTCACCAAAAAGCTTACTGACCCAAAACACCTGTGAAATACACATGTGAAAAGCTGCATTGTTGCTTGCCATCTGTAAACAACTTGTTATGGCATGTTTACAATGGACATGAGTAAAGCATCACATCTCAATTTCCTCCATTATAAACAATTAAGCTGCCTGCACTGGAAGCAGAACAGACTATATGCAGTAGTTTTCTGCTTGCAGTTGTTTTTTTTTCCCTTGCTGAGAAAAAACAGTGGTATAAACAGTACAGCAGAATCTCTACCAGTTGACACATTTCAGCCCTCACATGGTATATACAGTCACACTCCTCACTGATATGCTAAGAAGACATGGTTTTGATTATTGCAGCTGCGGTTGTCACAGTGATGACGACATCACGCAAGCCACAAAAAAAAAAAAAAATATATATATATATATATATATATATATATATTTGAGGGCATGTTGAGTAGCGTTCGTGTAGGCAGGGCAAACAAGGCGGTTGCCTAGAGCGTCATTATCTGCCTTACGAGGCAGCAGCCAATGGAAATGGAACCTCTTAAGTGACTGATCTGGAATGCTCTACATAGACTGCAATTTGTTTAGGCTAAAATGATCAGTATAATTATAGTGCCTACCGTTTGCAATATTATTTGCATTGGGAGTGTGCCTATTATGCCTTAAAATGCTTGGCTTGCATTTTTTGTTTTTATTTTCCCCCAATTTTTAGTGTCTCAATTGATCCCCCCAACACAGTTTGTATGAAGTGACTTTAAATATAGACAACGTTTTATGATTACAATGGGAGTGATCTAGTTTGTGGTGTATGCTGTTGCTTGCTTGAAGTGTATACACAGTATAGGCCCAAATGGGAAAGTGAGAGTTTTTCAGTAGTATTAATAATAAATACATTGGATTTTAAAAATGCACATTACTTTTTTCTTTCCAGGAAGTAATCTGCTTCTGTAATGAACATTATTTGTGATCCTTTACCCCACAAACTTAAACGTAATAAGAAAATGAATAGATATTGGCAAGGAAATGATCCTGCACACGCTCATAGCTATTTTACATTTTGACGAATTGGTTTCGTTTGCTCATATTTCAAACAGTCTGTCTATTCCAGTGACAGTGAGGTTTAAAGGTGGACCTTGTCTTTTTTTCTAAAATGTGTTTAGTACGAATGAATTTGTACAAATTCACCACTAATTCGTCAAAATGTAAAATAGTGACGTTTCCGTGCAGATGATACCATACAAAATCACCACCAATTTGTCAAAACATAAAATAGCGACGTTTTTGTACCAATGAAATCACACAAATTCCCCACTAATTTTTCCAAAGCATAAAATAGTTACATAAAATCGTACGCAATCACCAATTAGTCAAAATGACAAATGTTATTTTTATACAAATGAAATCAAACAAATCAACCACTAATTCATCAAAAATAAAATAGTGACATTTCCGTACAAAAAAATAAAAATTGAATGAGTTCACCACTAATTTGTCAAAATGTAAAATAATCACGTTTTCTTAAGAGATCAGGTCATTACTGAAACAAGCGGAATGTCCAATTCTGTCAACTTCACTAAATTTTCTCATGACTTTTTGGAAACCGGTGTGCATTTTAAGATATTTTCTTTTACATTAACAAAAATGACCAAAGAATGCACCTTTTATTTGTTACAAAATGTTTAGCCGTGGACTAAAAATGACGGTCAAACTGGCCCTGAAAACGTATGCTAAGAAACACAGGCTATTTCTGCTTCTGACAGAGAGCCAGCAGCGTCAGACCTGTGTAAAAACTTTAACTCCCATCATTTTCCCTTTTTCATAACTGCTATTTTCATTTTTTGGTCTAGTTAGGTAGCTGAGAGAGTGGATTCGGTTCAGCGCTCCTCCGGCCCCTTAGAACCAGTAAATCACGAAAGGCTTTAGTAAGTGCTGAAACAGTAGCAGGTAAATCAAGAGAGAGAGCGCAAGTCCACGAGAGGGCTTTAAATTTCCTCTTAAACGCTGTGGGGCAGAGTGTGTGATGTGTAAAAGCCCTGTTTTCTTAATTTGATTTCCTCTAAATGCTTCTGCTCGCCCTGATTTACAGCCTATCGCTCTTTTCCCTGTGCGTTATTTGTTGGCAGAAAGCTGATCTTGCAGTGGCACCCCTGGCCATCACATACGTGCGGGAGAAGGTCATCGACTTTTCCAAACCCTTCATGACGCTGGGGATAAGTATACTGTACCGCAAACCCAATGGCACCAACCCGGGGGTGTTCTCCTTTCTCAACCCCCTGTCCCCCGACATCTGGATGTATATTCTGCTCGCTTACTTGGGTGTCAGTTGTGTGCTGTTTGTCATAGCCAGGTAACATACCAGCCAAATATATATACATACCCCACATGATAACCTCATCTCATTAACATTTTATGCTAACTGAAACAGTTCACTCTTAGATTTAACTTTAGTGGCCTTAAAGGAACAGTTCTTCCAAAAATAACAATTCTAACATGATCTACTCACCCTCATATCATTCTAAATCTGTATGACTTTTTTCCCATGGAGCAAATAAAGTCAATACTTCAAATCAAACGAGCCTGCCAAGATTCAAAATGACTAAAAAAATAATTTCAAAATTTAAAATGATCATGAACGATGTCCTTATGTCCCATGCTTTATATTCCAAGTCTTCAGAACAGCCATATGATAGTTTCGCATGAGGAATAAATGCATAATATACAGTAGAACAAGTGTCGTATGGACTATGATGCTCTTATGTTGCTTTTTTTTTTGTCATTTTGGAGCTTGACAACCTCCCTAACCTCCATTCCTTTTAGTTGGGAAAAAACAAAAAAAAACTGCTCCGGATCTTTAATCTTCTATGGGCATGGACCAAAATGAGTATGAGTAAATTATGTCTTAACTGTCCAATCCTGTTCCTGGAGGGCCACCGTTCTGCAGCGTTTTACTGCTTCAGGTGTGTTTAATTAGGGTTGGAGCTCAACTCTGCAGGACAACAGATCTCCAGGAACAGGTTTGGACACCCCTGACTTTGGTTAACTATTCCTTTAAGAATCCCGAATGCCACTCTCACAATATTTACATGATGAAACGTCATGAGGTTCAGCTCAGTTGTTTCCTGGGAAATTTATATAAATATGAAATACCTGCAGCTGTGAACAGGAGATAACTAAGAAGCACACACACATAGCAAACACACTAGAGAGGAGCTATAAGGGTTGCTTTGGTCTTCCTGTCTTGACGCAGAGGAGCTACAGTATGTGCCTCTCATCATATAATGCACAATAGCACAAACCATAAAAGTAAAGATGCAAAAGCACAGTTTCAAGACGGTATGTGTGTGAAAAACAGAAAATAGGTTTGTGGGAGTGTTCAAGCGTGCGTGAGAGTGAGATTGAGGCATTTTCTGGTGTGAAATGCAACCTCCCCCATCCCTCGCTGTCCCTACTGTGTCTATTCTGTATACTTTTCTTTTCTGATTGGGTTCTTCCACATCCTGCTTCATATTTCCTTTGGAAAACTGAGATTCTATGACATGTAATGCTACAAAAATGTATATTCACATTTTCCAAAATTGGTAGAATCAAAATTAGTTTACAGTTGGTTGAAGACACTAACAACTTTGAAATCCTTGGGCAGCAGTGAACATCTGAAAAACTGCTTGTATGATAAGCTCTTGTTTCGGAGACTTAGAATTAAACCCCAGATACTGTAGTAAATAGCATTTATCCTAAAGCTTCAATGTTCAAATTAGGTACAATTTAGTTACAAAATAAAGTCATTTTTAGGACTTAATTTATGGATATCACACTTCATTGTTTTTAGTAAGTAGACATTACAGACTAATTGTCCCTTAATTAAAGGAAAATCTGGGTTAAGTGCAAGTTAATATGTTGATTAGAAAATAATTTAGACTCGTAACTCAGTTTGTAAAGACAAACAAAAATGTAGCTGCAAGCAGCAGTTAGCAGAACTGTGTACAGGAAACTACTCTAAAAGAGAAAAATGGACCTTTTCATATATGTTCGTTGCTTTCAAATGGATTCTTTTATACCTGATAGGGCTCAGTATTTCACAGTACAATATTGACATCTGTCAGTTCATATTTTTCCTCATTGCTCCCAAACTGACAGATGTAGGATGCCTTTTTTTTTGCATCCAATAGTACAAAACTGCATACTGTACATCTCTCCATATGGAGGATGTACAACTGCCAGTTGCCTTCTTCAACAAAATTGTATAAGAAGGAAGGTTTAGTTGTGTCATTCTGATTAAAAATATGGAAAAAAATAGAAATGAAACATATGCACATATTAATTGTTCTAAATGCATTTAGAAAATGGGTGAATTTTCATGTCAACCTTACTAGTCTTACATTTAGTTTCTAAATACATGAAAAACCTATTTACATTTTGCAAAAATATATAAAAGTAAAAAATCTCAAATTCATTGCATGACCCGTTCATGAGAAGAATACGATTTTAAAGGCTTTAGATAAATGTCAAATACTGAAGAGAGAGAGAGAGAGAGAGAGAGAGAGATCATGAAGGAATTTTTTGGTCCCTAGGGGAATTTTTTCCTTGTCAGGAGAAGAAATTACATGTAAAAAGTCTATCTCAAGAGAGGTAGCAGGGCTGATGTTTTGAATATTGCAAATTAAACTACAACCATCCATCCCATAATTACATTTTTTTTTTGAGCTGACATCTTTATTGATAGCTTATGTTTATTTATTTTAGACCCAGAATGTTCCTTTAAATTTGTACTGTAGTACATTCTTTGAATAAATCACTGAGATCGATTTTAAATGCTTTGGTGCTTTCCATTGGTCTTCATTTGAAGCATGGTGGGGAGAAATCCAAAGAAAAGGCCTTATTTTAACCCTAAAACTCTTGGGTTGACCGCATTCAACTGGTCTAACCCAAGAGTTTTATGGTTAATGCACTTGTGCTTTATAAATGTTACTGGCAATATGATCACACAAGTTTCTAACAAGCTACAACTGTCATCTAAGTTGGTTCAGAATATGCACCTTTCACCTTTTAACTGCACTAATGTTAATGCTGGGTAAGTGTTCACCTTTCCAATTTTCAAATAGAGCACAAATAACAAGTACACAATTAAACAGCATGCTTAAACAGAAACATACAGCAGACAAGACCTAACACAAGATAGCATTACTGTGTTTATGTGTTTGTCTCTTTGTACACATTTCTTTATGTGTGCATGTGCTTTTGTATGTGCACTATAACGCGGTATATGCAGCAAACATGTCTGCGTGTGAGAGCGAAAGTCAGAGCGAGAGAGAAAGAGATCACAGGGTGACATAATGGGGACTGGTGGAGGGTTTCCTAAGGCTTATTCTCACCATGCAGTATTTAGAAACCTTCCTTCTGGGCACAGTATGAAAGTCAAATATTTATCCTCTTCTCAGAATCTGTAATGCATATCAGCCGTTGTTTTTGTTCCAGTTGTTTTCCTCTACTTACAAATTGTCTTCTCTTTTCTGCGAAAGCAGGTGATGAAACAGCTGAGGAAGTCTCAATTGAAAATGAGTTACACTTACTTATGACACTGGTTCTTGCCGTAAAACAAGCGTTGCCTTGATGCTGTAAATCATTCAGCTGATGCAATACTCAAATGCTGCTTCTGATTCTAATGCTTCAAATAAGTCTTTTTTTTTTGTTTATCTGATCGTGAATGTTGTACGTGTAAAACCATATTCCTATCAAAGGCAAGCTTATCTCACTATTCCTTAATATATAATAGAAATATATCTTGCATGATTATTATATCTTATTTATAGATTAAAGTTTGCAACCAGTTTTGAAACAAATGCGAGAAAATGTCAATCTGGACCAGATTTTATCCACTGAAAATTGATTGGATTGTGAACAGTAGGTGTTACCACAATAGATTAGCAATGTGGAAAATAAGCGAGATTCATGAAGCCTGAAAATATGTTGAAAAGCCGTTTCAGATGCACTTATCTTTTAATTCAGTATTATATGAACTTACAAAGTTTCATATACATTGGTAGCCTACATTCTTTAAGTTTTTCACGCACAGAAAACCTTACATTTTAGATGCCGCACTCTCACAAAAGCTATCACTGAGGTGATACCTTTTCAAAAGGTATTAATATGTACTATTTAGATACTAATATGTACACCTTAGGTAGAAATATATATATATACCTTTAAGGTACACATTTTGATTCCATGATAACTTGATTTTTATATTTTCTGAAGAAAATATGTGGAGGTAATAGGCATTATAGTTAACTACCTATGGTACAAATAGTGCCTGCCTTTGTTACCAGTTCTTTTGACCTCATGATTCTCATTTGCTCTGCCATGCACTGTGAGCTGTAAGGTCTTATATAGACAGGGGTGTGGGTTTCCTAATCAAGTCCAATCAGTATAATCAAACACAGCTGGATTCAAATGAAGGTGTAGAACCATCTCAAGGATGATCAGAAGAAATGGACAGCACCTGAGTTAAATATATGAGTGTCACAGCAAAGGGTCTGAATACTTAGGACCATGTGATATTTCAGTTTTTCTTTTTTAATAAATCTGCAAAATTGTCAACAATTCGGTGTTTTTCTGTCAATATGGGGTGCTGTGTGTACATTAATGAGGAAAAAAAAAATCATAAATCGAATGGCTTAGATTATTGATAGCACACCTCTCCCCAACGAGCAGAATGATTAAAGGTATCGCCAGAGCCGATCCTCCCTATACGCAAAATACGCAAGCTGCGTAGGGCCCCCAAAACAGCAGGGGGCCCCTTGCTCTCAAAGATGATTTAATTTTTGTTTCGTTTTTGAATTTGGCCAGCGGTTATGAAAACATGAATGATCATTTCTTTTAGTGCGCTGTCGCCCTTTCTTAGTAAAAATCAGTCAAATCATGTAATGTGAATGTGGGTTTTTCTCATGTCTGTAGCAAATGGTGCTGGATAAGTTATTCACCAGAGTTTAATTCTAAGGGTTAGGAGTTTGTTCAAATCCCTAAACACCCTATACGCAAAATACGCAAGCTGCGTAGGGCCCCCAAAACAGCAGGGGGCCCCTTGCTCTCAAAGATGATTTAATTTTTGTTTTGTTTTTGAATTTGGCCAGCGGTTATGAAAACATGAATGATCATTTCTTTTAGTGCAAATTAGTGCAAATCGCCCTTTCTTAGTAAAAATCTGTCAAATCATGTAATGTGAATGTCGAACAGTCTAGCTCGAGAATAAAAAAACAAGTTGAACCGTACCGAGCTCCGGAAGAGGCACTGTTTCTTAAGAGCTTACTGTGAGCGCGATTAGAAACTGAGTGAAACACGGACAAATGTGTTTCATCAATTCGTTCATAACCACTCAAAGCCCCCCCCCCCCAGGTTTTCCATAGGGCCCCCAGAAGTATAGGATCGGCACTGGGTTTTTCTCATGTCTGTAGCAAATGGTGCTGGATAAGTTATTCACCAGAGTTTAATTCTAAGGGTTAGGAGTTTGTTCAAATCCCTAAACAAATGTGCGAGCAATATTTCTAGTAGTGTTTGCCTTAGAAACATCACTAATGAACTATTTTTTGTTTCTCTTATTTTCTAGTAAAAAAAAAATATATATATATATATTTTTTTTTAATTATTTTATTTTATTTTTTTTAGGTTGCAATGACCCGATAAGCAAAATTGTTAGACAATTGTTAGACAATTTTTTTCTTGTTATAACCATAAACATTAGTAAATTGTTTATCAACAAATATTGATCTTTAAAATAAGAAATAAGAATTAGGTGAGCTCTAGTCAACTTAATTCAATATTGTTTGTTTGTTTGATCTTGCAGGTGTCTTTTCTATTTATTTATAGATTAATGTTTGCAACCATTTCTACTTCTGTAATCTGCTGAGTGAAACAAATGCTTAATGTTGATTGGAGTAGGTGTTACATACAATAATGGTAAATGAGATTTATTATATATATGTATGTATATATATGTACCCGACCACCAATCCTGCCCCTAACCTTACCCATATCCCACCTCAATAGCAGCACAACTTTTGCAATTCAACATGAACACAATATGTACACAGTAGCATGTAACAATTAGTTATTTTATTATTAAGTACATATTATTTTAAGACACCACGTTTCACTTGGAGCAAGGGAACGAGGAAACGCAGGAGTTGCTCAAAACCAACAGTCTTTAATGCAACAACACAGAATAACACTCTGGAACTCTGGAAGACATTACATACCGGACGCTGGAGATACGGAAACACAGGGCTTAAATACACAGTAACTAATGGGACACACCTGGGATCAAATTAACTAAACGGGGAGCGCCTGGAACAAAAGGACAGGAACGGGAAGGACCAAATAAGGGCATGGAAACACATGGGGAGCAAAACCCACACAAAACACGGAACAGAGTCTGACATAACTCCCCCCTTCCGGGTAGTGGTACCCGTTCTGGGACCCATGGCGAATCAGGCAGTCCGGGGCGCCATGGCGGAGCAGGCAGTCCAGGAGGCCATGGCAGAGTAGGGAACTCAGGGGGCCATGGCGGATCAGACAGTTCAAGAGGCCATGGCAGAGTAGGGAACTAAGGAGGCTATGGCGGATCAGGGAACTCAAAAAGCCATGGCGGATTAGACAGTTCAGGAGGCCATGGCAGATCAGACAGTTGAGACAGGCCATGGCTGAGCAGCCTCCAAGGCCGTGGCCCCAGCCCCCGCCCCGGCCTTTTTCGGCTGGAGCCCTATAACCTCCCCCCTCCCAAAACAAAATACTTGGGGAAAATTACAGGCACCAAGGCCCTCCATGGGCCAGACATAGGGACAGCGACCCTCTCCGGACCTAATTCAGGAACGGGTGCCCTTCTTGGGCTAAACTCAGGAACCACAGCCCTCCATGGGCTAAACTCAGGAACAGGAGCCCTCACTGGGCTGGAAGTGGGAACTGCAGCCCTATCTTGATGCTGGTCTGGGGCTAGAGCCATTTCTCGACTCTAGACAGGGGATAGAGCCAACACTGGAGCGAGCTATGGGGGGTGCTCTCTGGCGAGGAAGAGGGACGTGAGCCTTCCATTTCTCTTCATCCTCCCCTTCTGGTTACAGGTGAATAGGGCGGCCGGCTGGCTTGACTGATGAACGCCCGGCGAGCTTGAGAATGCTATAAATTATTTATTTATTAATTCATTATTTTTATTTGAGTACAATTACATTGTTATAAATTCATGTATTTACATTAATTCAGTGATGTAAAATAATATTTTTTGACTTGAATAAAAGCAGGAAAAACAGATTTAGGTTAGAGAAAATTCTAATTCAAAAGAGGTCATGCTTGGCACTGAAATCCTACAGGAATACTATACATCTCTTAAGACCGAAAATCCAGTAAGACTATGCTGAACAAGCAGTCAGTCTTTGAAATCTATGGTAGTGCATTGATTAGCAATGCATCCTTGTATATCATCCTTATTGAATTGTATGTCAGCTCCACAACATGACCTCATCCCATGTTCTGGATGCTAAATGCAGCTACACAGCAACGTTATTTAAATAGGTCAGTCTTCCAGATCTGACATGACTGCTATCAGGTGCGTTATCGGTCCTGTGCACAATGACTTTCTGAAAATAAATAAATAAATAAACAGCACCATTGTTCTTTCCCGAGGCATCAATGTTTCCTCAGCCTTCGTTTATCTCTTCATGTTGACCTTGCTCAAAATTTTCCCTCTGCGGCACAGATGACCGGAGATAACAGAAGGTCAGTATAATTGGATCAAACTGACAGCTAACGGACGACTGACGCTTCCTGTAGCAGCAGGTTAAGTTGCGTCTCATGCAGACAGAGGCTGTTCATTGCCTCTTTCCTCCGCTGGCACGCTCCAGTTGATGACAACCATCCATGTTAGATTTTCCGTTATAATTGGCTTTACAGAACATGATTGTGTGAACTTGCACAAAGACCCTTAGCATGAAACGTCTGGGGCAGCAGTTGCATCTTTGCAAGATTATAGTTTGCATGTGCATCACATATAGCGAATAACTGCTAACTATCTAACTGCTTCTTTAGCTATTTAAAGAGCACAGCAATCAATTTAGATAGAAAATAACAATGATTGCACCAGCACTTGATGAATCTTGCTCATAGACTCATATGCAGAAAATGTTGTGTTCTCTACTATTAGACTCTGAAAGTCAATAATTTATGTTTCCATTTAAGAGTTCTGATGGAGAATTTAAAAAAATAACTGAGACAAATAATTTCCTTGGTATTAGATTGCTCAACTCTTGAAAAGCCTGTAGATGCTTTTTTATTCCACTACTTCAGCACAAACAGAATTGGGTCACAATGCTTAATTGTCGCCCAATCAACCTTTACTAATGTAATGTCACTTATATTTAGCTGGAGTAAATGGAAAGTCTCAATGTGGGAGAGAGATAGCACAGTACGAGGGATTGGGTTGTGGAGATGATGGAATTGACTAGATCTTCTGCATTGGGCATCTAAATTAATCCTTTTAAATAGATATTCTGGGTTAACTACAAATTAAGCTATTTTGACAGCATCTGAAGTTGTCAGTTACAACAAAATAATTTTGACAAATAAAAAAAAAAAAACGCACTCATAAAGTACAAGACACATTGTAAGTTAAGGCTCGGTCTATTCCAGGCCTTACGTACATGTACATGTCTCATGTACTTTCTGAGTGCATGTCTTTAATTACTTTTTTAATGCTACGATATAAGGTACAGTGATTAATACATAAATACATAAACAACATGTACGTTATGTACAGATAAAATTGTTTATAAATTATTTAATACATAAGAAAATAATCCATAGGCTCAGTCTCAGCAGCTTTGGAATTTATTGAAGTCCATTAAGTGTGTGAAAACATTGTTATACAGTTTAATTCAGTGTTTGCACTTAACATGTGCTTTGATGTAGTCGGAGACATATTCATTTTTGTATGTGTGAGATGAGACAACTGCTATCAGTACAATGGCTTCATTATTACAAATGTAGAGGTTTGTGCAGCAGAAAATATTGAAAATTAAAGAAACATTCTTTATTGAAAACGGCTTGAATTGTTTTTAACAAAACACATTCCTAAACTCTCATCTTGATAGTAAAGCCCAACACAGTATCAATTTGCAGTGATCATGTTTTTGCATATGTGTGTGGCATATTTTGCTTCTTAATGCTTATTGTTCTATTAAAGGGATAGTTTACCCAAAAATGAAAAGTCTGTCACATTGTATTAACCCCAAAGTTGTTCCAAACCTGTATGAGGTTAGTCAGTGAGGACCAACAACTATTTGGTTATCCACATTCTTCAAAATAAACTCATACAGGCTTGGAACAACTTGAGGGTGAGTAAATGATGACAAACTTTTAATTTTTAGGTGATCTGTCCCTTAAAGTTCTGTCCAGTAACTTCATTGGGACATGGGCCATGGCTCATAAAATCAGAAATGTCTGGTCTTTTTTTATAGCTTCATTTAATTAAATTTGCTCTCATACATTCATAATGATGGTTGCATTTGATATGAATATGTTATTTGGGAGTTTCTGGAATAGAAAAAATGAACTAAAATGAACATAAACAGCTCTAAGCAACATGTAACTATCACACACTTAACTTATTTATTTGTTACATTAAATAAAAAAAAAAGTTTAAACCATCTGTGAAGAAAGACAGAGATAGATTCTCCAAGAGAACTCTGTTTTTTTTTTACAGAATCCTGATATCTAATTAACTGATGGTTATGCTAACTTGTCTCTTTTTCCTTGTGTCTCTATAGGTAGACCTGCCTTTCCTTCCTTTTTTCTTCCATGTACCACAATTTGGACTAAAACGTATCTGTGTGTTCTGTGTTGTTTGCCACAGGTTTAGCCCCTACGAATGGTATAACCCCCACCCGTGCAACCCCGACTCGGACGTGGTGGAAAACAATTTCACCCTGCTAAATAGTTTCTGGTTCGGAGTTGGAGCTCTCATGCAGCAAGGTAGACGCCTCTGCCTGCCCCCCTTAGCACACATCCCACTTTTTTGCTGGGGGTCCCAACTTGCTCTTGTCAGGCCCACTATGATGCATGGGTGCCTCTGTGCATGTAGTTCTAGAAGCAAATTGGTTGCTGGCCAATGGTATGAATGGGACTGTGTGGGACTTAAACGTTTTTTATTGGTGGGTTTTGGGTAGAGGATCAGGGAATCGTTAGTTGCATGCTAACTTTTCCATAACCACCACTGTCTTCGCTCTTCAGGGTTCTGAGTAGGTAAGTCAAATTTCATGTGCAAAAAAAAAGTGGCTGAATGAAACAAAGACAAATTCTTGGTCTTGTGTCTAAGACTGCCATATATATTATTGACTTCTAACTCTAACCCTACCAAATCCTGATGCCACATCTTCTCAACTGCAGATGTTTGAGATTGAGAAAGGCCTATAGTGATCGAAGGACAATGTCACATGTAACCTGCATGCATCAGAATGTGTTGCATCAGAATAGCATAATAATATTTGGTTGAGCAATGATAGACACCAGGCCCTTGTTTGCAAAGTAGCATGGGTAATGTTTGAATCTGCACTGCATCTGTCAAATGGAATGGTTTACAGTTGGGATTGGTTTGCCATGTAACATTAGCATTTTGAGTCTTTGCAAAATCTACATTGTGAAAGAGATTTATATTTGAGGACTGGCTGAAGCCAGCCACCAGCTGTTTGCAATGTAGATAGCATGGATATTTGTCATCACATTGAATGTAAAAAATGAAGAAACATTGCAGGTATTTTTGCCTAGCTGTTCTAGTTGGTGGAGCGATTTGTCTGGCTAATTTTTAGAATAAATAAAGAGCATGCTAAAGAGTTACAGGGCCATATGCAGTCAGCATCCAACTAGAGCAGAGGTCTTCAACCCTGCTTCTGGAGATCTACTGTCCTTTCAAAGTTTATATCCAACACACCTGCCTGGGATTTTCAGGTAGTCCTGAAGAGCTTGATTAGCTGGTTCAGTGGGTTTGATAAGGGTGGGAGCTAAACTCTGCAGGACAGTGGGTTCCCAAGAGCATGGTTGAAGACCCTTGAACAAGAGGGACAAGTGATATCCAGCCACATGAGTGATGTCCTTAAATCAGTGGTTCGCAATCCTGGTCCTGGAGAACCAACAACGCTGCATATTTTTGATGTCACTCTTATCTGACACACACATTTGAGGTCTTGGAGTCTTTACTAATGAGACAACGAGGTGAATCAGATGTGTTTGATTAGGGAGACATTTAAAATGTGCAGTGTTGGGTGTTCTCCAGGATCAGGATTTGGAACCCCTGCCTTAGATGCTTGACGGCAAATGTGGGTGCATCAGTGTGTGTCTAGGCAACCTACAGAAATCCCACCATCCGATTGGCACTGTGGATTGCAACTCTTTCCTATCAACAAGTAATCCTCAGAAAGCAGAGGTCATTAAAAGTCATATGCTAGTGTGTTTGGATCATAGCGAAAAAGGAGGTAGGCCTATTATTTCCTGTCAAACTAATTATTGTCCAACAGCATCACCACATAACAACATAACTATAGGGTATCATTGGTACTGTCATTTGTTCAGGTTCCATTGTGAGTTTGGAAGATAAGATGTGGCATTAGGCTGAGGGCTAAACGGGCAGGGATTGTGTATGTTGACTGTCTGCATGCCTCATGATGAATGAGTAATACTACACTGTAGAGAGGCTCCCCTGCCCATGGCTTGTCAGCCCCCAGAAAAATGTGGGACGGCGTGCTTGGTTATGACGTTACCTTGGGTACATGACAGTCAGCCCCAACCAGGTTATATAAGGTCACCCTGACCAAATGGTCCAGGTGATACTTTGAAATGAACTTTCTTCTCAGGATGGTTTTCTTTTTTTATATTTTTTCAGTGTTCTGACATACTATTTTTGCTTCTTTATTAAAGTGGTTGTGGGTGCCAAAGCCCCTTTTCTGATATTGATTGATTTTGCCAAGTCTTGTTTAAAGGTGAAATGTGTAAAATATGTGACTCTAGATTCACATACAGTTCTCCTGCCCCTTCTACACTGTGCCCAACTACTTATTTGGATAAACAGGTATTCCTGTCCAAAACTCACACCACTAGTTGAGCCACATGTCGGAATGTTGAAGCACCACAATGTTTGTATTTAAAGTTGTCTCTGATGGGAAAGGATAATGTCTTTTAGCATCAAGAAAAATATACACATCAGCTTTAACAACTGAATTGCTAGTATACACAGGAAAAGAGTAATTATCTCGTTCTTTCTTTCTATTTCAATGGTTATTCAGGCTGTCTGGGAGCTAGAGTTATATATCCAAACTTTGGACTTGATTGACAGGTCACTAGAGCATTATCAGTCTGTTGAGGCCTGATTGGAACTCACGTTCGCAGTTCAATTGTAATTCATGTAACGGCTAATCTTTTCAACAGTCCATTGTGTTTTGCCATGGACTCACTGTGCCAGATCAAAGCTTACAGCTGACTCATAGAACTTGAAAAGAGGAGCCAGTTATTTCCCTGTGCTCTTGTCCTCTGACATCTCCTCCTAGTACAACTAGTTATTGTCCCGACTTTTCCCCATCAATTAATTTCCTCTGCATGGCCATGGTGACAACTTGATTAAGGGATAACAGAAAATTATACGTAGGTTGTGACATAAAATGGTTCTTCATTTTGGCTTTTACCCACAAGCCAAATGGATTGAAGAGTGTAGGGCAATTCAAAGACGGAAGCAAATCATGAGCCCTTTATGATTTAATACAAATCTGAGAGTCTGGAATCTAATTAAATTTGACCACATAAATTCTCCTAAAACATAAATGAATTCCCACCTTCACCGAGGTTGACTTTGGCGTTTTCGGTTAGCAGAGATATGTCTTCCCAGTTGTCAGCAGGCAAGGCCTTTCCCTGAAGCTAGTTGTTTTGTCTGGACTGGGTTGGGTGTGTGCATCTGGTCCTGGTCCTCACATTGTGACCAGTGATTTACCCTGACTGCTATCTCTGCTCCTCTCTACTAGGATCTGAGCTCATGCCCAAAGCCCTTTCCACCAGGATAGTAGGAGGCATCTGGTGGTTTTTTACCCTAATCATCATCTCCTCCTACACGGCCAACCTAGCCGCCTTTCTTACCGTGGAGAGAATGGAATCTCCAATTGACTCGGCCGATGACCTGGCCAAGCAGACCAAGATTGAGTATGGAGTGGTGGAGGATGGTGCTACAATGACCTTCTTTAGGGTGAGTTGAGCCTATCATATCGCTTGCAGCACATGTAACTTCAAGTCCTACAGAGAACTTTTAAAAAGGCCCAATAAGGACCATTGACCATTGGCGTTTCATGGCTCATGGGCTCTTTTGTCTAATTTCTTTTAACTTAAACCAGGCAATTTATATATTTTTCAGTTAAACAGATGTATAATTACAGAGATAATGTACAGTTAGCCAGACACTGTTGCAGAATGGACCACAACAGGATGATGCATAACCGGATCACCCTGTCAGCACTTATATTTGCGATGAGGAGCAGCTAACTTTACATTATCCTTTCCTAATTTGATTTGATTTAACTACATTTTTAATTGATTACAGTTTTACTAATTGGGTCACCAGGAAGGTCAATGACAGGGTAGTATTTTTAATATTGTTTTGCATGTTAAAGACATCTGCTGAGGAGGCATGTAAAGCTCTCATGCCAGTAGGATGCTCTGGCATATTGAATTCTGGTGTCACAAGGGTTGTGTGTTTGAATCTGGTTTGTGATGTTCCTGATATTTTCAATTTTCTTTATAAAAAAAAAACACCTAAATATTGAGCCATTTTAAGAAAGAAATGTACTGGATAAATGGAAAATAATAATACATATAAAACATATTGTGTGGGGTTTTTTTGTATAATAGTGATGACAGGGTGAAAAATCAGTGCTGTCTTATCAGAATGTCCTAATTTGAAATCTCAGCTCTCAAAGGGGATCTAAAGTATGCAATAAAAAGCGAAATATTTGAGAATGAAGATTTTATACTTGACCTAATAATTGAGGTTGTGTTTCAAAGCTTTTATCGCTGTGGACGTGACAAAGATTGAAAGCATTTTATGACTGCACACTGTTTAGTGCCTGTATGTGGGAGATCCACTCTGCATTTCGTTATTCAGTCCCAGACGGCTGTGAACATGTTCACTGCGACACTTAAATTCCTCTTATTAAGTCAATATTTTTGCTCTGAGATCACAGCATGGAGAGTGTCCCCTCAGTGTGGTTTTGATTGTCCAGCGTTTGTAACCAGTTCAGTGAAATCCTCAGCCACCTCTGTGCCAAAAGAGGAGTAATCTGGAATTTGTCTTTCCTATCCACCTCTGCTATATCTTGTTTTCAGAGGAACATTAAGCATATAATGATGATCTGTTATTCATTAAATGCTACTATAATATAAATTTAAACATCATCCTAATCTATATTAGTTTTGCTTTATTTATTTTAAACTTTAGTCAGCAGAAATCTAAATTGACCCTGCTTGCTTCATTGCATAATCCTTGCCTCATTGTGAACAGTTCATGCAGTACAGTTTATTCTAATATTTATATATATATATATATATATATATATATATATATATATATATATATATATATATATATATATATATATATATATATATACCGTCCCACCAGCCCTGCAAAGAGCAATATATATATTACTTTTAATTTATGTATTTGTTTGTTTGTCACATACACTTCTTACTTGTTCTAACCTTTTTGTTCAATCTCTTTTCATGGTCAATCTCTTTTTTTCTAATCAGTTCATGAAGGACAAAATCAAGTCCTGCTCAACATTTTTGTCTTCATATTCAGTAATATCCAGTTTAAATTTCATAGCATTATTACAAATTATGGAGGTAAAAAGTGTTGCTTTCACTCTGACAAAACACACACACACACAATGTGTAAATATTGAAAGAAAAAGACATCCTATTGTAGATAGCAACACTAGAGCAGATTACTGGAGAGAGAGAGAGAGAGAGAGAGAGAGAGAGAGAGAGAGAGAGAGAGAGCGAGAGCGAGAGATGTAGCTCTTTCAAAGCAAGCTGGCCCTGACAACGCCTGTAATCCATTGCAGTCAGATTTCCTATAGGAACAGCAGATGTTCAGAGAGCTGAACACATATGCTCTTTTAGCAGATGCTGATGTATTGAGTGATCGAGTGGCGATTGACGGTTTGATAAACTGCCTTTATTGATTCTGTATAATGCTCTACAGAGACACGGTCACAAAACTCAATAGTATCAAGAACGCTGCACTTTAAATTAGATAGGTTCCTTTTATGCTCTTTAAATACAAACATTTAGAACCATATCTAGCATAACTATATATAAACCCATTGTGGCTGAAATAATTTTGTGTTTGGGGTTTTAGGTTCTTTACAGCTCTACTTTCACAGCTGGCTTCTTCAGCTGTTATTGATTTGCTATTATTACAAGCCAAAGAACTCTAATCTACTTCTGTATAATCTAGAACAGTGTGTCTCATTCACTAGCCGTGCATATGCACAAATTTGTGTGTGAAATCTAAGTACGAACATATTCACGAACAAACCATGTTCCGTCAAGAAAGTACTAAAATGTATTCTAAAGCTACTAAAATTGTAGGAACAACTGAAACCACCATTATAAGGATGGCCTTATAATCATGTTAAGGTAAAATTTTGTACATGCTCAAGGATCTTGCAGTGTGTGCTCTCAGGATAGTGCACATCTTTTGAAATTGTCATACGTTTGGTGAAACACAGTAAAGGATATGGAAATGGTCTGGATGTGTTTTATGCAAATTACTAATCTATGGGTACTGTATGTGGTCACTCATTTAGAATACTCCAAATGCATTAACATTAGAATAGGGCTAAGAACATATTCAAATGCATACACACGTGCAACATTTTTGCCTGAAAAGATCTCCTGTGCGTGTAACCCATGTAAGTATTAGTGAATGAGATTATTTTTTCTTGATTTACCATAATATGCAAAAAGAGAACTCTATGTCTACATGCTATGCAGTTATTTATTAAAATTGGCTGCATAGTATTTATGCGACATTCAAAATTTGTAAAAAAAAATAAAATAAAAATGTATTATTCTTTCTACTGTACTTTTATTTTCTACTAATCCAATTCGCTTGTTAAATTGTGACATAACATATTCTCTTTGCATTGCCAAGCTTTACTCCATTTTTAGTAAGAATACTATCTCAAAGTCTATTTATGAGCAATTTTCATTTATAACACAAATTAAACTCATGGTGTGCACTACAGTTTCTGGGCTCATGGCCTCCCTGATGCCAATATTAAAGATAATTCACTGTCTGGCCAACTGGGATGTTGGTATGGAGGTAAAGTTTAAGATTATGAATTTTTGGTAACACTGTTAATGCATATTAGCACTATTTATGTTTATTTGTTGCTTCTGTGATAATATACACTGAAAATAAAATGTGTAAAAACAGTATTGCTAGTATTGATAGTAATAGTGTTTTTTTTTACAGTCATTTTACCTCTATTTTGTATCATCTATATTTCCTGGCAAAAATTACCAGTCCTTTTTTCAGTGTTGAGTTTTTTTTTTTTTCAAAGTAAGTAAGTTTTATTTATAGAGCACATTTGAAATTCAGTGTTACACTGACCAAAGTGCTGAACAAATCCAATAATAAAATACAGTAAATTCTAAAATAAAGTAAAAAAAAAAAATATATATATATATAAAAAAAGTGTAATATTGGCAATAACAACAGTTTCACATTCAATTAATAGCCCGGAAAGGCGAGAGAGTAAAAATGTGTCTTAAGTCTTGACTTGAAAATAGAAACAGAAGAAGCACTCCTAATGTCAGGTGGCAACTGATTCCACAAACGTGGAGCAGCGACTGCAAAGGCTCTGTCTCATTTTAATTTAAGTCGTGACCGAGGGACATGTAATAGAACTTTATTAGCGGATCTGAGAGACTTCGGCGTTGAATGCAAATAAATAAGATCAGAAATATAAGATGGGGCTTGTCCATTAAGAGCTTTGAAAACAATAAGTAAAATCTTAACCTGAATTCTAAAAAAGACAGGAAGCCAAAGAAGGGACGTTAAAACTGGAGAAATATGTTCGCGTTTTTTGGTGCCGGTTAACAAATAACTATTTTTAACAACTGAGCTAATTTGTTTTTCAAGACAAAGCTCAGAGTCAAAGATAAAACCTAGATTTTTTACATGAGACTTAACATATGGAGAGAGGTTTTCTAAGTTCCCAGCAACAGAATTTCTAGTTTTAGAGGGACCAAAGAGAATCACCTCAGTTTTATCATTGTTGAGCTGCAGGAAGTTATTTGACATCCAGCATTTTATATCCTCAAGACAGTCGATGAGAGGCTGCAGAGAATCTCGAGATTTTAATGGAAGATACAGCTGAGAATCATCTGCATAAAAATGAAAAGAGATTTTATATTTCCTTATGATATTACCAAGTGGAAGCATATACAGATTAAAGAGTAATGGACCCAAAATGGACCCCTGAGGGACCACATAAAGAAGAGAGGCAGATGATGAGATAAACTGGCCAACAGACACTGAAAATGACCAGGATTTCAGATACAACTCAAACCAGCTAAGTGCTGTACTCTTTATGCCCACCCAATGTTCAAGGCGTGACAGAAGGATATTATGATCAACTGTATCAAAGGCAGCACTAAGATCCAATAAAACCAAAACTGCATTATCACCAGAATCAACCGACAGTAGCAAATCATTCATCACTTTTAACAAAGCTGTTTCAGTACTGTGGTGGGTAGTGAAACCTGATTGAAAAGGTTCAAGTATATGAGTTGATTTTAAAAAAGGAAGTAATTGTGACAGGACAACTCTTTCCAGAACTTTTGAAAGAAATGGGAGTTTTGAAATAGGACGATAGTTATTCAAGCAATTAATATCGGCATTGGGTTTTTTAAGCAATGGCTGAACAACTGCATGCTTCAAAAACGCAGGGACAGTGCCAGAAACTAAGCAATAATTAATAATTACTTGAATACTAGGACCAATTGCATCAAAAGCAACTTTAAAAAAAGTCAGAGGGAACAGCATCATAAGTTGAATTTGAAGATTTCGTCTGCATCACTAATTCCCTTAACTCAGAGAGAGACACCGGCTGAAAGCTGCACAAGGTAGCTGAAGAAACTGAACAGTCGACCAAAGAGCTAGAACAAAGAGGAACAAAT